AATGAAATTATTTATTAATTACAAATATGATATCATCAAATCAAATTTTTTATTGAGAATATTTATTACGATTGTTATAATTAGTTAATATATTTTTCTTCTAAATACAACAAAATGCTCATCTCAATATAAATACAAGTAAGAGAAGCTCAAACTTTCACTCAAAAATTAACAAACCTCACATCACACACACATATATATATATATATATATATATATATATCTCCCTGTAAGCCACCATCCATAAACCAGCCACTAGAGAGAAAATGTCACTCTCTTTTCGCAAGTTTACTTCTTCTCTTCTTCTTCTTCTTCTTGTCGTTTTTACGATCGGTAATTATTTCCTCATACACTTTTGATATTTATAGTTGTTCTATCGTAACATTTTACTTGTTTATACGTGCTGATTATGTACTACTTGTAAATACATATGTTTTCTCTTGTGTTTACAGAGATATTAAGTGATTGAGTTTGAATGCAGGTATGCAACAATGGGCAAATGCGAGGAACATAAACATTCCATGCAAAACCGTAGATGATTGTACTCCACCAGGAAAGTGTGAATGCAGAATGAATTTATGCTTCTGTCACCCTGCTGAAGAAAAATCTATATTTGATGCTCTTCAAATCAATCATCGAAGTGGCGGTTTCGGATGCAAAAAATCTGTACGCCGCGCAGATTCATCATCGGCCGAAATGATACCGAAAAATTGATTTGTTAAACATTGTCAAGAGAAAAGTGTAACAACTCTTCGCCACAAATTAATTAATAAGTAATCGTAATTATGGAAATATAATGGTTTGATTCTATTGAATAAATGTAAGGTTTATATATACCTAATAAGATGAGATTAGTGGAATTAAATATTTTAATTTTATTTAATTATTTAATTTATGAGATTTTCTGTGAATCAAATTATTTATTATAATTATGAAAATGCATCATTAATTAATTCCTTTAATAATAATAAAAATTTTGGTGTCAAATAATTGAAGATGGTCTGGATCTGCTAAGAACCATAGAGATCCAATGGGGGGGATGAAGCAAGCCCATAAATAAAATGGCCCACAAAAATGGTTTTTTGAGTTAAAAATTTTCTCTTTTAGCTTTTCCCTGCAAATAGGGTTGTTGTCTGTGATGATCACCGATAAGCTACTGTTGATCGGAAAGGTTCAGATTTAGGTCTTATTGTCCGGCTCTGGGCGCTCCTTGTAAGTTATCCATGGTTTCCCTTTTATCTAATTTGGAACAGAAAGCTCAAAATGATACGATAAAAACCACGTTCTTCATCTGTGACGCTATACTCACTGCATTTGTTACAGTTTGCAAAACTCACTTTCTTTTATCTATCCGCTTTAACGGGCTTAAATGCTATAAAATATTTATGGTGATAAAGAATGCAATGTTTTGTAATTTTGGTATTACACTAAGCCCTGTGGGAATTGGTTGGAAATGTTTGGTGAATGTGAATGAACTTTTTCTCATAGTTTCTAGCAAAGGTTTTCTAGGTTCGAATCGTTTATTTTCTTAACCATAATCAGTGACTAAACCCTGGAGATGCTAATGGGATTATTAAAGACAATTGCTTTAGCTCCTGAAGGAAATGGTGAAACTGTTTATAGCTTGTGCCATTTTAGATTTTTTTTTTTTTTTGGTTTTCTTTTGGGTGTTAGTGGAATACAATTGCTTTTCTACGGGTGTTTGTGATGTTTATTGGAGATTGAATGACAAATAACCTTGAGACATGCTAATTAGAGATGCAGTAGTTTCGTGTTCACGAATCTTTGTATTCAATTATTGTTTGTAAGATAGAATGCAGTTATCGTAAGCTATTTAACATCTCCTTCCCTTATATGTAAGCTGGTACTTATTATTGTTGGATTCTTTATTCTGCTGCATCAAATGATGGATGACATAAACCTCTTGCAGTTTCCTGTCTTTAGATGATGCGACCCAGCCACTTTAGTTAAAAGCTTTTTTGTAAGAGCTTTTAACTCTCAGTAATTGATGGGACCAAGTGAGTTAAATTTATATAATCAATACTAATATAGGTTAAAGTTATAAAAATCAGATTTTTCTTGGAAGAATGGTCTGCCATTGTGAATGGAAAATTCAGATTTATTGGTCTAGTTACTTGGAAACAGAGGTACGGCTTGTTGAAATAGGGAGCCTTTCTATGAATCGGCAATACCAGAATCCACATGGTGATGCCACATATTTGAACGGGCGTAATGAAGCATCAGAGTAGTCATTAAATGGCATTACTCTTACAGCTTTGCTTTAGTAGATGATTAAGTATCCATTTTGGTTTTCCTTTTATTCTCTGTTTCACCTGAACAGAAGTTGTGCTTTCAGTAATTTGTGACTTGCATAGTTTTGCAG